ACCAGGGGCAAGATGCAAAGAGCTCATTCCCTTTTTGTTTTTAAATATATATTTTTTTCAAAAGTTTGTTTCTTTGTTTATTTAGAGCGTGCGTGCAAGCAGGGGGCGGGGCAGAGAGAGAAGGAGAAAGAATCCCAAGCAGGCTCTGCACTATGCAGAGCCTGACTCAGGGCTCAATCCCACGAACCATGAGATCATGATCGGAGCCGAAGTCAAGGGATGCTTAACCCACTGAGCCACCCAGGCGCCCCTAAAGATTTTAGTTTTAAGGAATCTCTACATCCAACATGGGGTTCACACTCACAACCCCGAGATCAAGAGTTGCACGATCAAGAGCCAGCCAGGTGCCCCAAAGAGCTCACGTTCCTAACAGAATTGAGAGAAAGGGAGGAATCGGGAGATGCCCTGAAAGTAGAGAACTTTGGTTTAGAGGGGTACTTGCTGCTGTGGAGCACCCAGCCATAGGATTAATTGCGAAGGAGCAGAGCAGGGTTCAAGAAGAGTTCTGGAATGCTGAGCTGCAATAAAATTCTGCAATATCCTTTTAGTTCTCCTTACATGGATTTTTTTTTTAACGTTTATTTATTTATTTTGGGAGGGGGTAGAGGCACAGAAAGAGAGGGAGAGAGAGAAAATCCAAACAGGCTTTGCACTCTCAGCATGCAACCTGACGTGAGGCTTGAACCCATGAACTGTGAGATGGTGACCTGAGCTGAAATCATGAGCTGGATGTTTAGCCGACTGAGCCACCCAGGTGCCCCTTTTGGAATTTCTTTTAATGCTAACACAGCCTCACTTCTTGGGTGCCCACCAAAGGTGAGGCATACACTTGGCCTGGTCCCTGTGGCCCGGCTGGTGTGGCCGAGGGCCACCTCTATGTCCCCTGCTCAGTCCTCCAGGGGGCACGGACTCCACTCGACACAAGGACGGGGTCTTTCCACTAGGCCTGCTGCTCACTTGGAGCTTCTAGGCGGTTGTTCGCATGCTGGCTGCAGGGGTGATCTGAGGTCATCTACCCCAAGACTTGCCCATTAAAGAAAAATCAGGCTTTAGAAGAGAAGTAGCTATGAAACCACAGCTGAGTCACGGGTGACCAAATTTACCAAGATACAATTTCCACTTTTTCAGAACGTGGGGTCTCCCTGTGATCCAACACAGCGCAAAGAAAAGAATATGTGTTAGCAGCAGACGAACCCGCATTAGGATCTCAGCCATTATCAGCTCAGTCACACGAGCAAGCGATTTAACCTCTGCGAGCCTCAATTTCCTCCACTGGAACACGGAGATAATAATGCCTTTTTCATGAGGCTTCCCTAAGGATGAAAGTCCCCCAAATGGTACCTGAGACACAGCTGTCAGCTGGTAAACAAGAGCTGTTATCACAGCATCAGTGCCACACTTGGAGGGCAAAACCCAGGTGTGCCCCAGAGGCTGTCAAAACTTCCCCCATGGGATTGGCCTTGGATGTGGGCAAGGGCATTGTTAGGATTGGTTACTTCAGAGCGGGGATGGTCTGTCCACTGGCTGCAGTGAACCACAGATAATTACTGCTTGTGTTTAACAGTGCCCGAAAACCATGCCTGCGACACCGTGCACGCCGGGACCCAAGCAGGTGACATCCAGATGTCTTAACATCTGGGTTTCACAAACTCCCCGCTGGGAGGGCCTAAGCATTCTGCTACATCGTTTTCTAGCTTTTGCAGATGTGATTGCAATGGACGTGCAGACCCGACGAACCTGCCAGGCCACGTTCACACTGGTGTGCTTCTGCCCACACCGATTCTTGGCCTCCGATGCCTCCTGCACCTTATAAGGCAAATCCCTTCTCTACCTTGTGAGGCCAGGGGAGGGAACTGCCTCGGGGACACCTTCCCTGAAGCCCCTTGCCCAGGCGTGAGTTCTCTGCTCCTTCCTCCCTGCTACCCCTGGGGTGCCTGCTGCTGGTCTTGGGTTAACGGGCCCATCTCCCAGGTAACGGGGTTCCATCTGAGGTCCCTCTATACACTAGCACCGGGCAGGGAACTAGCATCCCAGAGGCATTTCAGTGACGGCTACAAGTATGACTGCCAGGCCCTAAACTCAGCAGAAGGGAGTCTCCGGGGTAAGTCACGAGTCACAGCCTCAAGCTGCTCTCCCTCACAGGCTGCCTGCCCAGCCCAGTCCACCTGTGAGTGAACTGCATTAAGAACAAGGAGCTTAAGAGACGTCTTTGCTCTAGGCAGGGGTGCTATGTGTCCAAGGGTGGGGAGGAAAGAGAACCAGACTAATTCGTCCTCTTGCTAAGGGCCAATCTCGCTGCCTCGGGCATGGTGACCGGGGCAGGATGGACACTCACACTCCCGCGACAGGACAGGTGTTCTATGAAGACCATACTCGGAGAATAACACCTGTGGGCCGGGCCTGTGGAGCGGGGAGGAGACCTCTGACTCCTGCGCACAGATCTGGGATTGAAGGGTAAACATTCTGGAAGGCTGAGCCCACTTCAGTCAACGCAGGGTGTTCTGGAGAACGGTGTGAGGCATCTCTTGTCCTCAGACCCCTTTGTCCTCCCCTCCCACCCCCCATCCCCGAAACACACGAGTTTCCTAGGGTCTGCAGGACGCTGGCCAGGGCTGAGGTCACAGCAGCCTCTGGTCATGGAAGCCGGTGGCCTTAAGTGGCCTGTCCAAGCCTCCCTGGCACCAGGGTCTCCTTGTAGGGCAGAGTGACAACAGCTGAGGCCTCAAGAGACAAACCAGTGACTACATGGGGATTTAAAGGAACACGTTTAGGGCACACGGCAGCCCCAGTCTGTCCGAGGTGACCCCATTCCACTGACCAGATGAGTGTCTCCGAAGCAAGAGGCTGGAGAGAGGTGTTGTCATGGTAACAAGCGCACCCCTGGGGGGCTGCCCTGCCCTGGCAGGGGCTGGAATCCAACCCAACCTAGCAGTTGGGCTTGGAGGTGGTGGGTGGGGCCCGAGTCCCCCCCTGGAACAGGGACATGTCTTCACACCTCCGTACCGCCCCTCAGAGGACAGTGACCTCTGTGGCCCTTAAGGGAACAGGGAGCTCATGAGGACTCTGGGCCCAGAGGGGAAGTCACCCTCCATGCTGTGTGGCCAGAGAGACGCAGGCTAAGACTCTACCAAGTCCTCCTCGCTCCCGGGATAGTGCTCCCCTCATCCCAGGGGCCGCCCAGCCCCACAGAGAACACTGCCAAGGACCCATTTCCCTGGTGTGACGGGGAGTGGAGCTGAGAGAGGCCACTGCCCACCCTCCCCCCCGCCCCTCCCCCCACCACAATGCAGTTTTCACAGGGTGTGCTGGTGAGACAGGTCAGCTCAGAGGGCTGATTCAAGGGCACACAGAACAACCCTTTGCTCTTCCCAGTGCCGGGAGTGCTGTCACTCTTGGCCTGGAGGCCGTGGGATCTAGGCCAGCAGAGCTCTAGCGCAGGCACAACCAAATGTTCTTCCTTTACATGAGGAGCAGGGCTGGATTCTGGAAGCTGTTTGAGGGGACCGAGGGTCCAGGAAGCAGTGGGGCAGGACCGGCACCTGGGCACTGCTTGGGCCTTCCAAAGCACTGGTTTTCTCTTGCTAACCTTGACTTTTCCCACCTAGCTGGGGGGCCTCAGCCAGCATGCTGCCCCTCCCCGGTGCCTCCCAGAACGGCACACAAAGACCAGTGTTAGGTGCATGGCAGGGGGTTAGCAGGCATTAACTCTCTACCCTTCCCTTCTGTGCAACAAGTTATCTTGGGGTAGGGAGCAACTACTGACCTGGGCACCCAGAATCCAGAACAAGAGGCCCATCAGCCAACACAGCTGTGGATGACTGTCCAGACGCCTCCTCTGGGAAGGCTCCCCAGATGTCCCCTCTGTACGGTGACACTTTGCTGTGCCCTCACCTGACAGCTCCTCAAGATAGGGGTGACTGCATGCCAGCTGTCAAAGGACATCGTGCATGTAGTTCCTTTTTTAATCCCAGTAAAAAATTCACCAAGAAGGCACTTCATGCCCATTTTACAGATGAGAACACACCCAGGAAGGCAAGGACTCTTGCCCAAGGTCACTCAGATTGCAGATAGTAGAACCACAACCAACCGAGGTGGGCTGGGCCCACGCTTGTGCTGTGCCCATCCCCTCGGGAGAGAAACGGGTGCTCTTGATGACTGTGGTTTCTTGTGAGCAGGGCTCAGGTGGGTGCAGGATCAGAGAGGGGCAACACACGAGAGCAGGACAGCTTCCTCCCCACTCTGCGTCAGCTTCTTTTTCTGTCTTCGTTTCCACTCCATCACCATGCACAATCCAATCCAGCTCTCAAGAAGGAGCCAGAACCTCTCCCTCGCACTGTGTTGTGAATGACCGATAAGGATCCAGGGGCACAAAGGTTCCAAAAGATTGCCATTTTGACAGACCAAATAAAGCCAAGGGAATGAATCTCAAATGGCAGAATTCCAAACATTATTAATGCGTGTGGGGGAGCAGGGGGCTTCCGAAATCACATCAATACCGCCAATTTTCTAGGCAGGTCCTTCAGGGACGCGGGGTCTCTTGGTCCCGTCCCGGGGCCCAACTGAAGGTTCCATGCCTGCTGGGTGCTTACCAGGATTTGTGAGCTGACACCAGGACAGACGTCTGTTGATGAAATCTGACCCAGCACTTAAGGTTGACCCCCAGCCACAACTTCCCTTTCTTCTTCCATTTCTATGCCATTGGCCATGGGGGCCCAACCCAGGTCTCAGTGATGGCCTGTCCAGGCCTTGAATACTGGCAACTGGGCAGAGACTCAAGGAGGTGGCTTTGCAGGCCGACATCAACTGGACTGTAAGTTGCTCAGCTTGGACACTGCTTTTTTTTTTTTAATTTTTTTTTTTCAACGTTTATTTATTTTTGGGACAGAGAGAGACAGAGCATGAATGGGGGAGGGGCAGAGAGAGAGGGAGACACAGAATCGGAAGCAGGCTCCAGGCTCTGAACCATCAGCCCAGAGCCCGACGCGGGGCTCGAACTCACGGACCACGAGATCGTGACCTGGCTGAAGTCGGACGCTTAACCGACTGCGCCACCCAGGCGCCCCTGGACACTGCTCTTAAGCATTGCCTTCTCCCCTGCAGTCCAACTCTGAGCTCACCTGAGCCTGATTCTACCATTTGTTCCTTTGTGTATTTGTTCACATCCCCGACAAAATGGACCTGGGCACTTGCTCTGTGCCCAGGACCTATAGGGAGCCAGGAACCCAAGTGGAAGAGGCGGACCCCCAAATCAGGTAAGCATCAGGCAGTCTGATAAAGGCTCCAGCAGAGGAAAAAATTATCTAACTCTGCATGTAAGCGTAAGGGAAGGCTTCTCAGAGGAGGTGACATTTGTGAGGGGTTCTGAAGGGTCAGTAGGAATTCGTGAGGAAGTGCATTACAAATAAAGGAAGCAGCACGTGCAAAGAAAGGCTAGAGTATAAGGATCTGTGTGAGCGAAGGCTACGCCTTGATGGAGGAACAGAGCACTTTGGGCTGGATCTGTACTGGACCCACTGGACCCACTCTGCTTTTTCTCCTGGGGGTGGGGGCCATGTGACCTAAGCTCAGCTGATCAGAGCATTCCACATTCCCATGTACGGTGATCGTTTCAGAGACGGGCATAAGCTTAAGCTAGCAGTGGACTAGGTGCTCCTAGTGCAGATCCAGCCTCGCCAGAAGTTAGTAGCGTTGGCCTTTTCAGTTATCTCACCCTATGCGCTTGTTTGTTCGTTTAAGGCGGTTTGAGCTAAGTTTTTCTATCATAGGCAACAGCCAAGGCAAGCTTTAACTAACACTGCCTCTCCTGGCCCAGAGTGATCCTGGGCCCAGCATCCTGCAACGCAGATTGGAGCCCTAGTTCCTCGGGCCTGTCCACCCTCCCGCTTGCAGGACTGAAGGACGGGGTGGTAGGTGTCCTGCCCAGGGCCACTGAGGCTCACTCCTAGCTGTGTGGCTTGGAGCAGTTCAGGCACCTCTCTGAACCTGTGTGCTCATCTATAAACAGCGATTGCAATGGCGCTCTTACAAATACGTGGTGGGAAGCAGAGGGCAGGTGAGCATGGGGGGGCTGACGTGTGGTCATGAGGCACAAACAGGGGGCTCTGGGTAAGAGGAACAGCAACTGCCTCCCTGCCTCCACGTGCATGCGTGTGCGTGTATGTGGGTGTGTGGGCACCTGTTGGCGACGGGTGGCAGTGGCCTGCAGTGGGGCCCAGCCTCTGGGGGGCCTATCCTATGGCAGTTGACTCCTGCCCTCCCAATGTCGGCGCTGGTCAGGACGGCCGGCCTGGCTCCTCCTGGAAGCTGCAGGGAGGACCGAGACAGGGCGTCTCCTGAGCAGGGTCTCTCCTCCACCCTCTTCCCTTCCCCCTCTACCGGGGGGTGCCTGGTGATGCCGCTGGACAAGGCTTCTGGGTCAGGTCCAAAGACCAGAGTGGTGGCCGGGCGCGAAGAGGAGTAAGAACGGGGAAAGCAAGCGGAGACTTAGCTGGACGGCTGCCGTCCTGGCCCTAACCTGCCGCTGCCGTGGGGAAGTCGCGGCACACGGGGGTCAGCCTTGGAGGAACACCGGCTGCACGCAACACATCCAGCAACTCTGCAAGGCAGCTTGTATTACCTCCATTTTAAACAGAAGGCAACCAAGGGTCAAGGGGGGTTCACCAGACTTGCCCAAGGCTGCAGAGCTCTAAGTGGCCGAGCGGAGTGGAAACTAGGCCTTTCTGACTCTGCGAGGTCAGGCTTGGCGCGTTGCCCAGAGGTCCACCCAAAGGCAAGCTTCCGCCTCAGCCGTCCGCCCTCGACAAGTTCAGCTTTGGTGTCTCTTTGCAGACATTGCCTCAGCTGGTCCTCGAGCCGACCCCAGCTGGGGTGGGGTGCAGGCTGAGGGGAGCGGCCCACACTTGGAGGTGGGACCTGGGCTTTCTGGGTCTGAATTATAGCCCTGCCACTTACTGCGGACCTTGGCTGTGCCCTCTGCCCCGAGCCTCCACAACCTCGCCTGTAGGGAATGGGGCACTGGGGCCTGCCCGAGGGCAGCCGTGGCATGGAATGAGCTCCGTAAGCGAAGTGTGCAGTGCATCCCCGGGTGCCTCGGAGATGCCCACCCCATGCTCACCACATGTTTTTACAGATTTAACAGATGAGCAAAGGGAAGACGCTCAGAGAACGGAGTGGACCCAGTGCCATCTTCCAACAAGTCCTGGGCCCCTCCGCATGTGCTGGCTCAAGAGTTTTGGCGGGAGAGAGAAGGCAAGGCCAAGGCGATGAGACCCCCACACAGCCACACGCGGCTCAGCGCCAAAGTGGCTGGACCCGAGTCAGCATGCCTGCATGCTTGGGTATGGGCACCATCCCTGGGAGCTGGTAGGATGGGGATGTGCCCCCGAAGGGTGTATGGCTCCCGTGGGGCTGCAGGGGCAGGTACCAACGTGCTCCTTACTGCGGTGGGAGGAGGGGCAGAAGTGCAGGGATGGGGCACGCGTACCCCACCCAGGGTGCTGTTTGGAGAAGCAGAACAATGCAGAGCTGAGGGATGCTGACTCACTCAGACTCAGCAGGAGCCACTGGGGCAAACTCTCCCATGTGAAGGCCAGGAGCCAGAAGGAAGGACCCTTGGCAACCCAGAGAGGCTCCTGATGGACCTTTCCCTGTGGCAGGTCAGTCGGGCCAGAAACAGGCAGGGATGGACGCTTTGTGTCCCATTTCACCGACAGCACTACTGAGACCCAAAGCAGCAGTGGCACAGCTGTGGTGAGGTCAGCGGCACAGCTGGACTGGAACCCCGGGACCCGGTGTTAGGGGTCACAGCCACAGCCCGCTCTAGGGGCCTTTGCTGAGGTTGAGGAAGGAGAGGTCTGGTCGCTTGGGGCTGCAGGCCTACGAACCTCAGCTCTGGCCTGCTTCTCAGGGTGACTGAAAGCTGTGGTACCAGCAGGAGAGATCCTGTGTGGTCACGCACCTGCCTCTTCTGTCCACCCTCCCTGTGCTTCCGCTCTGGTTCTGGGCCCGTGCCACACCTGCTACTCCAGTCGTGCCCTGCCTCTGTCCCCAGCTAACCTCCAACCTCTCCCTCCAAGGGTCCAGCTCAGGGCCCCCTTGCTCAAGAAGCCTCCTAGCTCCACATGGAGGTCAGGTCCCTCATGAGACACTCCTGTGGAGGACAGCTCCTTCCCCGGACCCTGAGCACGTCCATCCTGGCCGAGCACCAGGCACCTGCAGTGAGCCCCTGAGGGCCTGTCCCCCACCTTGGATGGGCAGCCAGGGAGCAAGCTCAGGTCCACTCCTGCTCACTTGCTTCCCCAGCACCCCCTCCCGTGCCCACCGGAGTTCGGACGGCATGCTTAACATGTGGCTGCTACATGAATGAATGAATGAATGAATGAATGAATGAATGAAGCAGGGAGTGTGTCCAGTGAATGGCATAGGCATTGAGGCAGAAGGCCCGGATTCCAGCTCAGCTCACTCCTAGCTGCGTGGCTTGGAGCGGTTCAGGCACCTCTCTGAACCTGTGTGCTCATCTATAAACAGCGATCGCAATGGCGCTCTTACAAATACGTGGTGGGAAGCAGAGGGCAGGTGAGCATGGGGGGCTGACCTTGTCTCTCAAAGATGCATCTATGTCCTTCCTCATCCCTTGCTAATATCACTGTATTGGCAACAAAAAAAGGCTTGGCAGATGTGATTAAGGTAAGGGGACATTATGGATTACCAGGGGGGTCCTAAATGCCAGAGCAAGTGTCCTTAGAATAGAGAGAGGCAGAGGGACGCAGAAGAGAAGGAGGCAGTGTAATCACGGGGACACAGGCTGGAGGGATGCGGCCACAAGCCAAGGAACACTGGTGGCCTTGCAGAGGCTGGAGGAGGCAAGGATAAATCCTCCCCTAGAGCCTATGGAGGCAGCACGGCCCTGCCAACGCCTTGATTTCAGCCCAGTGATAATGACTTTGGACTCTTGATCTCCAAAACCGCGAGGGAATCCATTTCTGTTGTTTTAAGCCACTGAGTTTGCGGCAGCTTGCTGGGAGCCAAGACAGTATATAAAGCATATTGTGCTGGTGTGGAGTAGGCCCGTGGGAGGTCCTGACATCACCGTCACTATTACCGTCACCTGTCTTCCGAGACTGTTCAGACCTCAGAGACCAGGGTCTGTGTGTTATTTCCCGGAGTGGCCTGGCCCCCCGTGGGCGCTCCGTTGGCAGCAAGCTGGGGAGGAAGGGGAAACTCCCCTCCACACTGGGAGGGCATCTGAGCACGCTCACAGGGCTCCGCAGCGTGCCTTCCTGCCTGCCACCCGGATTACACGGTCACTGGCTCCCCATAGCTGAACGCGCCCTGCACGTAGCCCTGACATGCCAGCCCCTCCCGCCCCGGAGACCGCTGGCTGGCATGTACTCATCCCGCCTTTGGGCTGAGAGGCTGCCACCCACCAGGATCACAGGGCCATGGGTGGAGTCAGAGGGCTCAGGGTAGGGAGGCTGTGACCCCTCTGCCGTTACCGAGCCGCTCAGGGCCAGGCACCCACTTTCTGGGAAACACTAGGCAGCTGGCCTTGGGCCCACTGATCTGCTAGAAGGCCAACGAATACCCCAAAGCTGGTCTTCCTGCTCTGAGCCTCCTTGAGCCAGGGTTCCTTAGCACCAGGACTGGGTGAGGAGGGCAGGCATGTGTCAACACTCGCGGCCCTATGCCTGATAGCAGATAGACGGCCGATGAGCTCCTCTGGGTGGACTTCAATCTCTCCTGCAAGGGTTTTTGTTGTTTCTTGGTCTTCTGTTTGTTTGGTTCATTCGGGGTGTGTGAGAGTGCACACTGGCAAGCTTGCTTCTGGCGCTTTCCGTATAGGAATTTAAAAAGTTCCAGAAATCAGGTCCCATTCAGAATATATACCCAGGGGGTTTGCAAGGGTAAAGAGATGCAAACTGACATTCTTTGGGAAAGCGCTGGGGAACTGCCCCTCTCCAAATCAGAGCCCAGTTCATTTTCTGTGAAAATCTGCATGTTCCCATGCACCTGCACTGCCCTCTGCCCATGTGGGGAAGCTCTATAAATCAGCAGAAAGGATAACTGTAAACAGGGCCTGGGACCACAGCATCCAGCCATTCAGTGATTTGTTCGTGGGTTCATGCGTTAGTCCCTCTGTCGGCCGATGTTCACTGAGTGTGGGCCTCTGAGGGCACTGGGTGGGGAGCTGGGGGTACTGAGGAAGACTCGGCCAGCATCCCACACCGAGGAAATAAGAAACCTGCCTGACAAGTGCTGCACCAGGGGTGTCTGGTCAACTCTGACATTCCCAAGGTTCACCTTGAACCCATGCTTGCACAGATCTCAGCAGAGAAGTGTGAGTCCCCATGAGGCTATGTTGATGACCAGCCGTTAGGGCGATGAACCTGGGGATCCAGCCATGAGTTTGGGAAGTTACAGCCCCCTAAGCCTGCAGTCTACTTCAGTGCCTTGACAGAATCACCAGGCTGGGACCTCTGGGGTCGCAGAGGAGAGTGGACACTAACTGTAGCCTACCGACAGTATACAAAGTACTGGAACAGAAAGAGGGTGGGAGGGAAAGAATTTACTCATTCTGCTGGGGCCATCTGAGATGGCTTCCTGCAGGAGGTGGCACCTGAAACTGGGCCTCAATTCGTACAGAGAAATGGAAAGGAGGCAGTGAGTGCCACAGACCTGGGGTTCCGAGGCAGGAGAATAACTGAACAAAGAGCAGGTCGTATCGGGAAACAGCTACCAGAGTCCCGGAGCTGAAAGTCAGACCACACAGCTGGGTGGGAGGAGAATGTGTGGGGAACCAGGAAGTGTGTTCGTTGGGAACCTGAGTTGGGTTCCCAAGTCCATCACCCGACTTGGGTTATCAAAGGAACTTCCCTTCGTGCAGACACCTCATCGTGGGATTGAAAAGAACAAGCACAAACTGAGAGAGGATGTTTGCGACACCGATAACTAATTATGGAATGAGTGGCCTTACTACATACAAAGCTTATTCACATCAATATGAAAAAAGGCACCTCCATACAGAAATGAGCAAAACAGCTCAACAGGCGCTTCGCAAGAAGGAAACGTTATTGGCCAATAAACAGGCGAAAGGATGCTCAGCTTCACCAGTAATCAGTCAGGAAAATAGAAAATCCAAATCACAGGAGACACCAAAATTGTGGCAAAAAATTAAATGTTGCTGACATTACCCTGCTAACAAGGATGTGGAGCAAGCCGAGCTCTCAAACCCTGTTGGGGGCGAAACCTCCCAGGAAAAGTCTGGCAACATCCAGAGTTAAAACGTGAACACCCCATGACTCAGCAATTTCATTCCCAGACACACATTTATTCTAAAGAACAGCCAGCCATACGTGGGGCCCAGAGGATGGGACAGGCGCGTTCACCGTGATGATGTCTGAAGTTGCAAAAACAAAGACACGTCCCGGATGCCTGTCAATTCAGACTGCTTCAGAGTCATGAGAATTCACCACCCAAGAGCCCCATGCATTAACGGGTGAATCTCTGGAACATAATTTGACCCATGAAAGTAGGTTCCCAGTGAATACACTTGCAATGATTCTGTTTATATCAAGCACGCAAAGCAAAACTAAACGATGTGTTGTTAGGGGAATCAGACATAGAGTGGAACCATCATGGATGCAAGGGGATGATAAATCTGAGTGGTGGAAGTGAGGGTGTCTGGGGCAGGGCAGCGGAGGGGCACATAAGGACCCTAAAGGTGCTGGCGTGTCCCCAGTCCCTCGCCTGGGCAGGGAACGACACGTATGATATTCCTACTCTTTGTATCTTTTTTTTTTTCCCACAGAGAGAGCTGGGGGCCGGAAGGGCAGAGGGAGAGAGAGGGAGAGAGAGAGACAGAAAGAGACAGAAAGAGAGAGAGAGAGAGAGAGAGAGAGAGAGAGAGAGAATCTTAAGCAGGCTCCATGCTCAGTGTGGAGCCCGACACAAGGCTCCCTCCCACGACCCTGGGATCATGACCTGAGCTGAAATCAAGAGTCGGACACTCGACCGACTGAACCACCCAGGCACCCCTACTCTTTTATATCTTAACCATGCTTTTGCTCGTCCTTTTGTATGTCTTCAATATTTAATAAGCCTAAATCTTAAAGAGGATGGTTGGCTTCTGGTTAGAAGCTGGCTGAGCGGACGGGGGCTCTGTGGTGGGGAGCTGAGAGACCGCAGGGCTGGTCGTGAACTTGTGTGGGCTGCTGGGAAGCCTCTGGGGGCCTGGTGGTTGTCTCCCTGTCACCCAGTGGGCTCATCTTGGCTGCTCCGTCTGTCTGCTGCCCAGGCTCCCTCCTGGCCCGCCCCAGCCCGTCCGACAGGCCTGCTCTGCGGCCAACGTATGTCTTTATACGCATGCGATCCATTCGACCCTCCACTCACCCCGTTCCCAGACCCGCACACTCCACCAGACCTAGCCAAGCCGCCGGCTTTCAGCTGTCACTCCCTACACAGAGCCGTAATAAAGAAATCACTGTTTTCAGCTGACAAAGAGCAGATTTCTTACTAAGTAAACACTGATGTTTTGGTAGGGAAATTAGGTTATAAAACTGCACCGACAAAGGACGCCATACACATGGACTTGGTTAAGATCTAGCCACGCAGGCAACAGGGGTTAATTCGATTGCCCACCCTTTATCACATTCCCCCCCCCCCCCCACTCCCTTGGAACAGAAGGATAGGAAGGTTATCAGCTTTTTCAAACATAAAAACCAAAAAGATAAAAGACAAGAGGGAAGTATCAAGGAGACTTTTCGTAGCCAAGTGATGACTTAGACAGAGCTGGGGAGGGGGTGGCGGGAGAGGCCTTGGATTTGAGCCATGTGTGGGGGATGGGGGTGGGGCAGGAACACAGCTGGCCCCCGGGAAGAGGCCCGGATTAGGTCCTCTCCAGGTGACCTGTGCTGGGGTTAACCTCTGCGTATGTGAGGCCTTTGTCTGTAAGAACAGCCAGACTGAACGCAGTCTGAGCCGAATCTTCCAGAACGTCACGGCTTTATGGGGACTGTCATACCACAGGGCAAATGCCAGGGGGCTGGAAGGGGAGCCGTGGGTGGAGGGCAGGAGGGTTTCATCACACTGCCCTAGGGGTCTAGGTTTAGGCCACGAGAAAAGTCCCTGATGGCGGGTGGCTTACACGCAGGGAACCTCCTCCACAGTGAGAATTCTTCAACTCTGGCCTGGCCTGCCAAAGTGGTGTGTGGAATTTCCTTTCCTGGATGCCTGTCAAAACTAGATGGATAATTCCAAATAGTTTAGATAAAAAGTCTTCTTAGAGGTGGGTGTGCTGCTGATTTTTACCCAATTTTGAGTCCATTAGTGTGTGCATTGAAAAGGCCCCCTCTTTCATACTGAGATCTGTGTCTGCCTGGGAGCGGAGGCCCTCATTGGTACAGGGGCAACCCCAAGAAGGCCCTGGAGCCCCATGGCAGGCTGGAGCTAGGGCTGAGCTGGGGACAGACAGGCTGCCCATGCCTTCCTTCCGGTAAATGCTTTCCATTCCTGGTTTCTTGGTGTTCTGGGCTCCCACCCCCTTTCCAGTACACGACTCTGTAACTGCCCCATTTCTCCTCCTTCCCCTCCAAGACCATGAGATGCATATGGGCAGCAACAGTGGGCCTCCTTGGGCCTGTATCCCCAACACCTGGCACAAGGCTGGCACATCCTAGCCTTGGGTGGGTGACGTCAGATGAATGAGCGCTCAGACCTTCCCACCCCCCTGAGTTAGGCAACAGCTAAACTCTACTTGCTTGGGCAGGGCGGCTCAAGTTCACATCTCAGAAATGCAGCTCCCAGCAAGAGAGAATGGGAGAAAAGGCTCCCACCGTGCCCAGTGTACCTCTTCTTCTCCATGGGCACCAGGACGAGTAAGTGACACAGCAATGCCGGCCACAGTGCTGGACGCTCAAGGAGCAGTGGGACTCAGGGGCAGAGCACTGCTCACGAGTCCCCCCAACTGTGGTTGACCAAGGCCAGCAGCACTGACCTCCAGGAAAGCCAGCAGCAATGAGCTAGGCTGAATGCGAATGCATTCTGGGCACTGGCATCAGCTTCCACCCAGAGTGGGCAACCCGACCATGTGCCCTGGGAGAGGATCCCACCTCAAAGGCCAATCTATCCCACAAACTGAAATTTTACTCCTAGTGGGGCACCCGGGTGGCTCAATCAGTTAAGTGTCCGACTTCGGCTCAGGTGGTGATCTCACAATTCGTGGTTTCAAGCCCTGAGTCGGGCTCTGTGCTGACAGCTCAGAGCCTGGAGCTTGGAGGCTGCTTCAGATTCTGTGTCTCCCTCTCTCTCTGCCTCTCCCCTGTGAGCGTGTGCTCTCCCTCTCAAAAAAAAAAAAAAAAAATTAAAAAATTTTTTTATTCCTACTGATTAATTCCTTTGGGTTGACTATCGTTCTGTTCCCATCTTTGCCAGCAGGGATAACCCACCGTAGCCCTAAGACCTGCAACGGGATGTTACTTCCTCTCCAAGGACAATCACGGCATAGAGAAAGTCTCAGGATGGAGAGTCAGATCTCACATACCAGCTGAATGATCTTGGGGAGCTCTTACATTCTGGGATCTGTTTTTCTGCTCCACAAAATGGGGAGACTATCACTCACCTTACAAGGTGTTGGGGGTACTGGAGATGATAACATCTGCCCAGCACCCAGTAGAGTACCTGGGATGAAATGTGCCTTTACTTCTGGTATCAGCACGAGGGTGAAAAGGGCAAATCATTGTCCGGAGCTCACGATGTACCAGGGGCTGTTCTATGTGCTTTACGTACACCCACTCACCTAATCCTCAAGCCCACCCCATGGGATGCTGTTGTATCCCCTTATTTATTTATTTATTTATTTATTTATTTATTTATTTATCGAGACAGAGTGAGAATGGGGGAGGGGCAGAGACAGAAGAAGACAGAAACCGAAGCAAGCTCTAGGCTCTTAGCACAGGGCCCGACGTGGGGCTCTCACGAGCTGTGAGATCATGACCTAAGCCGAAGTCGGAGGCTTAACAGACTGAGCCATCCAGGGGTCCCTGGATCCCCACTTTAGAGATGGGGAAACCAAGGCTCACAGAGTTAAACAGCCAGACCAAAGACATAAAGGGTGTAAGTGGCATAGGCAGGATTTGAACCCTGGCCCCACCCCATCCTGCCCAAATCCTGGGGGTGTAGGATGTGCAATGCTCAAGAGGATGGTGGCCCAGTGGGACAGGAGAACCAGAAAGACCACCTCTCAACCCTGCAGGACTTTCCCACCAGGAAGCCCTTCCCTATGCCTGCTTTGCATATGCCCTCCCCCAGTGCAGACCCGCCTCCTTTCTGCACATCAAGATGCCTTTCACTCCCGGGGCCCCTCCTGCCCTGGGCTGACCGCACAGGCTCTCTCCAAAGCCCAGAGCCAGGCAGCTCCTCTTCTGCGAGGGGCCAGCGATCAGCAAAGATCAAAGAGCAGGCTGGCTTATCAGACACGCTCCTCATTAAACTTTTACAGGCCAGATTCCATTATAAATGAGCTGTCTGTCCCACACCGCAGAGCCTGTTCCTGGAGCCGGGAATCTGAAGCTCTCAGAGCCGGGAGAGTCTTTAGCAGAAAGGTCCATGCAGAGAGGGGGCCTCTAGGGTCAAACTGCCCGGGTTCCAGTCCTAGCTTTGCTACGTACTAGGAGGATGTCACTAGAGAAAGTGGTCAACCTCACTGTGCCTCAGTTTCTCCACTTAGCAAGCAAATGTGACAATGTTGCTTTCCTTGTAGGGAGCAGGTGACAGTTAAATCCAGAGGGCTGGACCCTGCACCTCAGTCAGCCTGCCCCCAGCGACCTGCTGCCCAGAGGGGTCTCTAAGGGTCACTCACATCACCTTGAGCCAAGGCTCCACACTTATTAGCCACTCAGCCCTCAGATAGCCATGAGGGGAGGTCAGCTCCACAGTTCTCTGGGCTCTGCGTCTACCTGCCATCCCATTGCTCTGAGGAGGAAGTGGTCGGTTACAGCGGGTTTTAAGGAGCGCTCCCTAGAGATAAAAGGACAACTTGGACCCCAGTGAGGAGGAGGACGAGGCCTCTGGTGGGCAACTGTGGACCCACCCAGCATCTCAGCCCGGAAGCCAGGCAGATATGCCCTCCCAAAGTGTCTTCCTTGCTTCCACGAATCTCTGAAAAGAAGTGCGCACATTTGCTGAGGGAAGAGAACGTTCTTTGAGAAACACAAAGCCAGTCCTCTGTGAACCGTGAACCTGGCGAACCGTGAACCAACCAGAAAATATTACTGCCTCGAGGCGGGCTGAGGACAGGGCTGTCAGGGGCCCCAAACCAAGCAGGTTGCATGTTTATTAATCTCACGACGAGCTGGTGCAGTCTTTATGGAACACTGACCTTGGAAAAAGCCATCTTCAAATCCCTCCAGAATAGAAAGTTCAGGAGCTCGGCCAACAACAGCAAAGCAACTACGTTGTGAAGTACACCAACAGAGGGGCTTAAACATCCCCATTAATATGCAGGCACCAGGACAAGGTGGGTTCAGACATCCTTAACAGCTCTCTCAGGGGGTCTCTGGATAATTTGCACGTGTGACAAAGTGTGCAGATGATGGTGGAAGGCACAGGCCCTCGCACCCACCAGCTGGCGTTTCCTCTTTTCTCAAACTACCTGGGCCCTCATGCTGACTTCACATGAATTGATAGCTAAAGCCCCAGAGCCATCTGTCCCTAGCAAGACCGCCCCCCTCCTCTCTCCTTGTCTATACGGGTGGCCTTGGGCCGTGACCGCTGGAACCCTGCTCACCAACTACAGCTCAGGATCAAGTGGCCCTGATGGCAGTGACTAGTGGTGGTCAGCTCTAGAACCTAGGCCGGTGCTGCAGGTTCAGCCATCACCACGGATGTCAGAGGTCAGGTATGGAATCAGGCACGAGGAGAGAGAAAGGGACTGTCCTTCTCATGGTTGGGAAGATGTAGCTGCCCTCGTTCCAGAAGCTCACCCCCTTCTGCAAGCCGAGAATGTGCACAGATTTAGGTCAACTTATGGGGACTGCATCTGTGAATGGGTGACAAAAAGGAACCGGGGGATTTTTAACACCTCGTACTTTGGACCTGTTATCACTGAGGGGGAAAGGCCTACAGCCTGCTGATTCTAGGACTCTGGAAAGCCAACACACAGCCCCGGGACTGTTTTCTTGGGTATAAAATAAGCAGAGTGGCTCGCGGTGGTCCCCAAGTGCTGGCCTGTGGGTGTCTGTAAACAGATTCCCTTCCCCATTTTAGCCCAAAAGAACCAGAACTTCTAGGCTTGGGCCTAAGAATGTGCATCTTTAAGACAGACCCGAGTTCAGATTCGCAGCCAGGTTTGAGAATTGCAGGACGAGATGATCTCTGCGTACCCTCCTGGGCTGGAAGCAGCTGGAATTGGTCCTCTCTGACGCCCCATGACTGGGCTGGGATGAGAAGGACCCTATAAGCCACACGGGGAGTGGAAGGTTGACCCCTTCCACGACAGGGCACGGGTTGATCCTGGCCCACTGATTCCCACACTCCTGCTTACGTGACTGCTTACAGGGGGCAAGTGGGGAGCTCCAGCTGGGGGCCCTGCATGCCATGCCTCAGCCTCTGTCCCCACTATGCCTAGCAAGCCTGTTTCCAAGGGCAGGGCCAGGAGGGGATCCAAAGAGCTCCCCCCGCCGTTTCCCACCAGCAGTCACAAGGCTATGGAAAGTCTACAGGGAATGTTTGCCCCCACTGACTGGCCGGCCTTTCCTTCTCGCTCTCAAGAATGGACTCTCAGCCACTCAGGATCATATTCCCAAGGGGAAGTTGGGGGGGGGGTCACAAGAGAACCCCACCTGACCAGCAGAAACAACCCCCCTGCCCATTTATCTCCGCACCACTTGTGGTTTATACAGATAAGAAATGTTGCCCCAAGGGGCACCTGGGTGGCTCAGTCTGTTAAGCTTTCAACTTAGGCTCAAGTCATGATCTCACAGTTTGTGAGTTCGAGCCCTGCTTTGGGCTCTGTGCTGACAGCTCAGAGCCTGGAGCCTGCTTCAGATGCTGTGTCTCCCTCTCTCTTTGCCCCTCCCCCACTCATGCTCTGTCTCTGTCTGTCTCAAGAGTAAATAAACATAAAAATAAGAAAAGAGAAGAAATGCTGCCCACAGAGTCCACCGACAGTGCCAGGTACTCTTCTAGAACCACTTGAGCATTAAGGAGCTGTGCAAGTCCTGCTGTGGGTTTGCACCTCCAGGGGACAGGGAACGTTGGCTGTGTCAGGGTGGGGGGCAGGCATCGAGGAGGAGGCTGTCCAGCTGGGCTGTGCAGGCTGGGTTTCCACACACTGAACCCTATACCCCACCCGTCTGTAGCCGCCTGTTGGAGTGGAGGACAGTCAGCCTAGACCCTGCTCCTCATCTGCCTGGGACACGATGACAGGCTCTGGCAGGTCCCTTTGCCGGGTTCCCCACTTCTCCTCTCAATCCCCTAGGTGCTCCTACGGGCACCCTGGAAATAAATCTGACCCTTCCCTCTTGCTCCTGGTTGCCAAGGGGATAAAGTCCAAAGTCTTTCAACTGGGAGAAAAAAAGGCCCCACGCCTCCCCATCCCCAGTGGTACTTCTTCAGTCCTATTTTCCACCTTCTTATGTCACGGCCACCAGACAGAATCCTCTTTGAAGGTCATGTCATGGCCTACCTCCGCCACAAGTCCCTCGGCCTGCAATGACACCCCCCGCCCTCCAATAAGCAAACGGACATAGCAACTGTGAGAATATTCACCGTTAACATCCACTGAATGCTTCCAAACCCCTCTGCCTGTTTTACTTATAGGACCCCATTCCATTCTCAAAACAACTCCTCAGATGGGACAAGTGCTAGTATTATGGCCTATTACAGAAGGAGAAACTCAGGTTAATCCTTTCGGATTGGTCGGCTGAGTTCAGCGCTGGGATTCAAGGCCAGGTGGGCTGGCAGGGTCGGTGGCAGAGCACTTCCCTGGTCTAGCGGGAGGATCTCCGGCGCACGCGTGGTGGAGCACTATCCCCGGAGCGCATGCGCCCGAGGCGCCCAATCACCGGACTGTGGGGCCCAGGGCAGCCAATGGGCAGCGGCCCCGGCGCGGAGCCGTAGGCGGAGGCCCCCACCCTGCAGACAAGAGACGACAGCGCACCTCATTTGCTGCGCAACGTTTGTGTAATTAGACGCATTTAGCGCCGCAGAGGCGGCGTGGGCTACCGCAGGGGCTTGATGGATCGGGCGCTCCCCCAGGCTCCAACCGCATTAATCACAGAAGCCAGAGCCACCGGGGCCGTTTTTTTCGTGTAGGCTTCGTCCTGTTTCCCACCTGAGGCACCGGTGCGGGAGAGGGAAGGGGTGGACTTCCCAGGGCCCCAGGCCAGCCCTGAAGTACTGGCCAGTGTCCCCGTGTGGCCGGGTGGGGACCGACCGTCCCGAGGATTATGTGGAGCCCTCGAAGGTGCATCCTGGCAGGGCACGGGGCTTTGGGAACACAGTGCTTCTGCCCGTCACTGGGGTGTTAACCAGGAGAGCCCCTCCCTAGCTGGGGAGGGGGGACGGCATGCCCACCTCGCAGGGCCGACTGGCAGGAAGTCGATGCCCCCTCTGAAGCTCACCAGCTGCATCTCACAGGGCAGTGGGGAAGGTGAAACCGATATAGCATACCTGACTCCCTCCCTGGCAGAGCCTGGCCTCCCAGAGGCCCTGCACACACGGCTGACGCCTTTTGTTATATTCTCCTCGGTGATGCCATACTGGCCACGGGGGTTTGGGGATCCAAATAAGCCCCAGAGACATTCAGGCCCTAATCCCTGGCATCTGTGACTGTGACTTTCTAGGGGGAAAAAAGGACTTTGCAGATGTTATAGAATTAAGGATCTTGAGACAGGAAGATTATCTTGGATTACCCGGGGGGGGGGGGGACCCTAAAAGCCCTCACTGGCATCTTTATAAGAGAGGCAGAGAGAGAAGAGTATTATAGAAGAGGAAGACAATGTGAGGACAGAAACAGGGGAGAAAAGGCAATGTGACAAGAGGCAAGGGTCACCGGCTAAGGATCACGGGGAGCCTCCAGAAACGATGAAAGTCAAGAAGCTAGATTCTCCTCTGGAGTCTCCAGAAGGAACCAGCCCTACCAATACCTTGATTTACTTTAGACTTCTGGCCTCCAGAACTATCTGAGAATAAGTTAGTATCGTGTTGTGCCACTGGGTAAACTGTTATAGCAGCAACAGGAGACTAATTCACTGCCCCTCAGGTATCAAGTCTGGTGAAAGAGTCATCTGGGCCAGGGAGTGACAAGGCCATTTCCACAGGCCCACTGACCTGGCCAGACCTCCCCAGCTGCCTGCCACTAAGGCTTTCTGCTTCTACCAGTGTTCTGCCCATGCCGCACCCTTCACTGGCCGGGAAGGAAGCAGGCCCAGAGAGGGGACATGACTTGTGTCCAACCAAAGGCCGGTGAATGACAAAGCCTGGAGAAGACTCAGGGACCATCTCTTAGATCTCCATCAGCCCCAGGGGGACAGCACTGAGGGCTCCAGTCAGGGCTCCCTCATTCAGTGACGGGAGGCCCATAGAAGCATCGCCTGGGGGCATGTTAAACCCAAACATGAGCCCTACCCCAGTCTCTGACTCAGCAGTCTGGCCTAGGGCCTGAGAATCCGTATTCCTAACAGAGGATGCTGATGCTGCGGGTCCAGAGGGTTGGGGAACCACTGACTGGGGGTGGTGCCCTAACAAAGGGCTCTATGTGCTTTCAAGAAGGAATCAGCTGGGCCTGTCCAGGAGACCAGTGCTTATCTATGTGCCTCCAGGAGAGAGCCCAGCGTGCAGCTGAGAGCCTGGGGTCAGGAGGTTGTAATTAGATTTCTAACTCTCCCACTCCCTAAGTGGGTGACCCTGGTGATTAGTTATTTAACCTCTCTGTGCTGCCTTAGTTCCTTCTGTAAAATGGGATGGTATGAAATGCCTGTCTTACAGGGCTGTTGAGAGGATTAAGAGAGATGAGAACATGAAATATTTATAACAGAGCCTGTTTAGTAGGTCGGAATTATTGTGAGAAATGGCAGTTGTCAATGGTGGGGTCTTATTATAGCTCTGCTGTGGTCACCAGGTTTGTGCAGACATGTGAGCCAAGATAGTCACCTCACGGTGCTGCAATCCTGCGTGGGCTGTGCCTCCAAGGAGCCACCGGCACCACCCATGTCTCTGACCAGCACCAGGTCCCTTGCAGGGGACACTTCCCTGCGGGTCTACTTTCCGAGGATCTGTGTCACTGAACGAGCCCCAGTATTTCTCAAGAGCAGAAAGTCAGCAACTCCAATCCCCTCCCAAATAGGGACTCGGCTTCCTTGATTCTCCTTCGGTTCTCAGATGCTATCGACTGAGCAATTTTCGGGTGATTCACTAGCTCCAAATGTGTGCATCCCCCATAAGCTAGCCGCCAGAGCTGTAGTCTCAGCCCCTGCGGCTGGAGGGGCTGGGAGGTGGGCAGAGGGCTGCAAGGGCCCCATCACCTACCAGCTGGACCAGCAGCAGGCCCCAGTCAAGTGAGAACCGGCGACATGCGCTGCCACGAAATGAGAAATTTCCAGTATTTGAAAGACCCGGGAGACGACTCTAGGGGACTCCCAAAGTCCAAATCTGTGGTTGCTGCAACCACACAAAAATAGTGACCACAACAGAATATACCTCAGAGTAACACGACTATCCAGGCATTTATTTGGTGTAAGTAAATAGCCAAAGAAAGAAAGACACAGGGGAGAAGGGACTATTTCTCACAGGAGAATTCCAGGTGATAAATGTGGAAGGAATGATGGAAATAGAAAATCACCATTTGGCAAACACTAGTAATTAGTTTCTGTTGAGAACTGTCCATGGATATTAAAGTTAGTGGGTGAAGATATGATGGGACACAGGATATTTACATATTATCCAAGTATCACGGCCCAAGATACTTATTACTTACAAAGGGACCAGCTTTAAAGTAGAGAAACCCAGCAGACTTCACGTTAACTAAGTGATCTCCAGTGATGAGAAAAATTAACATCTCCCATGACGAGAAGTATTGCCATCATGTGCATGGCATGATGTACTAGGTAGGGGCACTGAACCACTTTTAAGGTATTATACCCCAAAATGCTTATTCTGGATTTTTTTTTTAAGTTTATTCACTTTTGAGAGAGACAAAGAAAGCATGAGCTCAGGAGGGGCAGAGAGAGAGAGAGAGAGAGAGGG